TTATTCCTCCCGAACAGACACATTAAACTGACTATTTTATTAATAACAAGAGTAAAGAAACAAACGTCCTTAGGCGACCTAGTGAAAGCAGGATAGTTGCAAGTTACAGTTGCCACATAAACTGCATACAAATAAAAAAAACTATTTATAGCATGTATCGGAATTTATATAAACTCTCCTCTCCGGGAGTACATAGGCCATAGGGAACCTGCGCTTTAATAACAGAGAGTTAATTTACCTATGAAGCGCAGTGAGAAAATGACAGGTTTTATCCTACAAAAAGTTTTAAATTGTATATATTTATTTTCATGACAACAATATGTTGCAATATTGTAGTTGGTGACTGCAAGTGTTGAGAAAATTATAATAAAAATTAACAGTTTTATAAAACTATGATTTCGCACAAAATGTTTTAAATAATAATCAAGCGATATTCAAGGTATTTCGGCCGATTTATGTGCTGGTCGTGGTCTATGGTTTAGTTAGTTAATTAGTAGTTAGTTAGTTAGTTAGTTAGTAGTTAGTTAGTTAGTTAGTTAGTTAGTTAGTTAGTTAGTTAGTTAGTAGTTAGTTAGTTAGTTAGTTAGTTAGTTAGTTAGTAGTTAGTTAGTTAGTTAGTTAGTTAGTTAGTTAGTTAGTTAGTTAGTTAGTTAGTTAGTTAGTTAGTTAGTTAGTTAGTAGTTAGTTAGTTAGTTAGTTAGTTAGTTAGTTAGTTAGTTAGTTAGTTAGTTAGTTAGTTAGTTAGTTAGTTAGTTAGTTAGTTAGTTAGTTAGTTAGTTAGTTAGTTAGTTAGTTAGTTAGTAGTTAGTTAGTTAGTTAGTTAGTAGTTAGTTAGTTAGTTAGTTAGTTAGTTAGTTAGTTAGTTAGTTAGTTAGTTAGTTAGTTAGTTAGTTAGTTAGTTAGTTAGTTAGTTAGTTAGTTAGTTAGTTAGTTAGTTAGTTAGTTAGTTAGTTAGTTAGTTAGTTAGTTAGTTAGTTAGTTAGTTAGTTAGTTAGTTAGTTAGTTAGTTAGTTAGTTAGTTAGTTAGTTAGTTAGTTAGTTAGTTAGTTAGTTAGTTAGTTAGTTAGTTAGTTAGTTAGTTAGTAGTTAGTTAGTTAGTTAGTTAGTTAGTTAGTTAGTTAGTTAGTTAGTTAGTTAGTTAGTTAGTTAGTTAGTTAGTTAGTTAGTTAGTTAGTTAGTTAGTAGTTAGTTAGTTAGTTAGTTAGTTAGTTAGTTAGTTAGTTAGTTAGTTAGTTAGTTAGTTAGTTAGTTAGTTAGTTAGTTAGTTAGTTAGTTAGTTAGTAGTTAGTTAGTTAGTTAGTTAGTTAGTTAGTTAGTTAGTTAGACAATAACTATTATAATATATTTAATTCAAAAGTTTCAAGATGCAAATTAACTCTGCTATTGTACGGATTTACAGATCCATAAATACATATGTAGATATATTTTGCAACAATTTTATACACTCGTAAAAAAGGTACAATACACGTAATTCCTTATATACTTTCAAAACCTCATACCAAATCTGTTCTAAATATTACTCTAAAAAACTGATTTGTCACATTTTATAACAAAAAGTTATTAATTTAAATATTTTGTATGAAAAGAAATAAAATCGTTGGTATTGGTGGTGGTTACAAAAAACACGCCATGACAAACAAATTCAATATAAAAGGGGAGATGGTACACTCACACACAATCACAGGGAAGAAAAAAAGACAGATGGCAGTAGAAACGTTTTTGGTTGGTTAGTTTTACAAATGAATGCACACATCTAAATTTACAAACACAGATACTGTATAATGGAAACATGGAAACACAATGGAAATAAAAACAAGAAACAGCGACAGCAGAAACTTAAACAGCTAGCAGCAGTTGGTACTTAAATACCAACAACGCATTTTGTAGGCAACAACGATACAACTTTTGATCTTAAAACATTGGCAACTAGAAGAAGACACTAACAACTCTAGAGGGCACATACAACACAGGGAAGGCGAATCTCTGCAGCAGTAACGAAAAAAAACATTTACAAATTAATAAGAAACAAAACTTAATGAACAGTAGAGAACAGGAAAAAAGAAACAGCTCAAAAAACCGACCAACAATAAACAAAAGAGCTTTAAAGAACAAAAGAGAGAAGATACAGCAACAACTACAACGACAAAAAGTAGCAGATGAGGGAATAAAGTACAAAATGAAACCAACCAACAACAACCACTTCCCCCCGACATCAAAAAAATTATAAAATGAAAACAACAAGAACAACTTCTGCAAGTTTATTGAAGGCCACCACCAGTGGGATAAGAAATAAGGCCCTTTAGGGGCCTTTGCATTTATATAATCATATTTGATCTTTAGTTAGTTTAGGGGCTTATTTTTTCCCAAAGTCCTTAAGCTGTCAAATATTGACAGATTACTCTTTACTATTTACTTATGTATGTAATGATCTGCCTATGCCAATATTTAGATTTCAAACAAAATCATTTTAGGTTCTTCCGAGTCATTTTTGGGCAGCTAGAACACTTTAAAAAGATAAATTTACAGCATTTTTTTAATGTCTATTAACTGGAAGTATTTCGCCAAATTTTTCCCGTACTAATATTCCGAATAACAAATTAAGTAAGCAAGACTGTGTCCGAAATACACCATTAAAGTTCAAACATCCGCATAAACTTCGACCAATAAAATCTATATTAACTGAAAACCTTTCCCAATTAGAAAGCACTAAATAAATATCGAAATTGCATAGGACGTTTTATACTTCAAAATTAGGCCTTCTTCAAGGCCTCTTTATTTCATATTTTCCCTGCTTCGTGTATATTTGAAATATACGAGTAAAACATAGAGATGAAGTAAGTTAGTAAGTGAATGGATGAATGACTAAATGTAGAATGAATGTGATTTGAATACAATGGTTTCTTTTTTGTTGTTTGATTGTTTTTTAATGTATTTCAAACTGTGTGTGAGTGAAACATAGTAAACACAGAGATGCCAGATGTTTCATTTATTATGACCTACAGTAGGTTATCAGAATCCATAGTCGAAAGGTAATGTTTGCTTCACAATTCTAATGTTAAAAGTTAAGTAACCACTAATTATACTGTATTGTATGGTAAAAATCCGACCATATATTGGAAGCATATAGAGGCCGGACTAAATGAGAACCTATACAGGGGGGCTTCTGCAACTGGTACTTTTTGAATTTTCTATAATACTAGCTATAACCAGTGTGCTTTGCTACCTTAAAATCAATATTAATAAAAACTCCACATTTTTGAAGATTCTATCTCTAACAGTTTCCCAGATATAGGAATGTTTGTATGTAATTCATATGGGAGGTGCCAAGACCCCTATTGAAAATCCGCCAATTTATTACCCAAATGTTCACATTCATGTCAGAGTTCTTCTGGAGAAATTCTAGCTCTTTTTAGCTTTAAAAGTTTATCAGATAAACGAATTTTTGTGTTTAATTCATATGGGAGGTGCAAAGCCTCTCTTATAAAAGTCCGCTCATTTTTCTCTCAAATATTTTTTCAAAAATTTTCCAAAAACTGATGTAAAAATGTAAACTTTGGTTTCTGGAATAAGATTTATTTGGTCTGTGTATTTTAATACAATTTTGAACCACTGTTATCAAGTCGAAAAAACTTTGTTTAGAAAAGTTTAGAGAACAATTACAGATTGATCTCTTAGGACATCATATTGTTAAAGTAAAAAGTCAACTATAAGCAAAGAACAAATCCAAACAAATCTGGCAGCACCTGCTTTAACTCTGAGAGTTTTTAATATGTACGTCTGTGATTACGAGAATTGTATCGATGATGATGGTAAAATGTGAGTGAACAATTTTATATACAGTACCAAATTGGATTTTGAAACTTTTTTAATTGCGTGCGTCACAGTCATCAACGTAGTTGTACACACAGATACACAAATACATAAACACATTATGAGTTTCGTGTGCCAGTCTGACAGTCAATAAATCGGATGGATTGTTTCACTACTAGCAATTTACTACTTACTCACCTTCATCCTGCCACTCAGTAATATTCACTCAAATTGTTGTTGTTGTTATTGAAAATTCACACAGATACACACACTCATACTTCAAATCTAGTATGTATTACATTAAATACAATTTGTATAATTGTATGTATGTATGCATGTACTTTAACATTTATGTATACTTTTTCTTTTCTTAAAAATTATTATTTTTTCTTTTTTGTTGTATATTGTTACTTTAGTTTATATCAAAACTGTGTGTTCCACAACCAACAGACACATAGAAAAAACACACAGAAAACACACGCACATAGATTCATTTCTGAAGGTGGTTGGTTGGTTGATTCTGCTGCATGTAGCAAACACTGACAGGGCAAACAGACCAACAAACAAGAGTAAACAAGAGGCATTTACGGAATCAACCCCCAAAAATACACCAACAACAATAACAGCAGCAGCAAGAAAACAATATTGTATTCAATTGTTACTCCGCGAAACAGAGAATGAATGGAATGAATGGTTGATGATGGTGATGTTGAGGATGGTTGGGTTGGTTGGTTGATGTTTTCTGTTTGTTTTTGTATTTATTTTTTATCCATCAACAATATTGAAGAAATTTGAATCAGTTGCAAACGAGTTCTCAGTGCGTTACGACGACAACCTAAAAACGCGCTGTGTTTGAGAAAAAAAAATTGGTTACAAAACTAAACAGAAAAAAAATTAAAACAGTTTAAAAAAACTACTAAAATTGTTACATTTTCGAATACGGATTGTGAAAATAATAAAATACAAAACAATTAATATTGTTGCACTTTTTAAAGGAATTAAACAAAATATTATAAAAAAAACAATTTAAAATAAATTTTTTTTAAACAGTAATTTGTGTTTTTAAAATTAACAAGAAAAAAATATACAATATAAATTCCCCTAAATACTTGGCTATGAGCTTATTAACAAACTAATTTTGTGAAATTTTCTTATAAAAATTGTTATAAAAACAAAACTCCATAAAATAATTTCACCCTACAAAGTGTGAAAAGTAATGAGTTTACCCAGTGGTGTTGATATGCAAAATCTCATGTCTCAACATCCAGTTTTAGGTGCTTTGCCACCGGCATTCTTTTTACGTGCCGCTTCCGAACGTTATCAGCGAACTCCCAAATGTGCCCGCTGTCGAAATCATGGAGTGGTTAGTATTAAACGATTTGTTAAGAACTTGAAGCTCGTCATTCATGAGCTACTAAACATATTTAAAACTTTTAAGTATTTTTTAATAAATAATAGCGGATATACAAACAAACTAACAAATTTATTTTGTTTTATTTAGGTCAGCGCTTTAAAGGGCCACAAACGTTATTGCAGATGGCGCGATTGTCTATGTGCTAAATGCACTTTAATGCTGAACGCCAAAACGGGTCATGGCAGCACAGGTTAGTGCACAAAGAAAATTTTAAAATTTTTGAAAAAATAACTTTTAATATGATTAAAAACTTTCCGACCGAAAAGCTCTTATAATTTTTCAACATATTTGTTAACTATATAAAAATCGACTTCGCCCCCCAAATCGTTATGGAACGTTATATCTATTAATACGCACTTCATATGTTACCGACGCTAATCATTATTGTCAAGATAACAAATCTTCGCACAATTTTGGAATAAGTAATGGAGTCATTCAACAATTTCTAAAATTAAGATTTTTCACAAAGCTTTCTTCAACTTTCTAACTAATTCTATCCTCATTATATATGTAATTAGTTTTAAAGTATGAATTATGTAAGATTAGAAGATATATGTACATGCTTTTGACGCTATCGTGGCTGTTACGTTCCTTTTCAGATCTTTTAGTAGGGAATCAAACCTACGACCTCTGTACTGACAGACTAGAATACTAACAACTGACCTACGGAGATATACATATCTCGAAACAATATCTAATCCTTAAGATATCTTGAGTCTTTTAAAAGTTGGTTTTATCAAACAGGTGGATTTTTCAGATATGTATCTAACCTATAGGTATAGGGTTAAATATATATCAAAAATAGACTTCTATGTTCAAAATTTAGAATCGGAGATATATATAGAGCTTGATGTAGTTGGGGTATTTATATTATTTATGATTTCAAGTTGGTTATCAATCTATTATATATTCTTATTCGACCCCCCTCTCTATAAGGATCTACAATATACAAATTTTTATAAGATATCTGATACCGGACACCGCATCGAAGTCGGTATCTATTAGCATCAATAACGTATATTATTTTTTGACAGAAAATTTAAAATGGAATAAAAAAAACATCGAAAGAGATGAAGAAAAAGAGATAATAATGAGAGATCACTAAATCTATTTTGTTTTAAACATCCAATTTCGGGGGTCTAATAAAGTACTCAATCAGGCCATAACTTGCACTAATTAATATTCTAAAAATTTTTCTTCTTGCAAAGTACAAACAACATCATATTATGGATTCAATTATTTGGGGAAGTAGAAGTAGACTTTCAATAGCAAGTGTTGTAAGTAATCAGCAATTTTGTTAAAAAATCTCAATGACTTTTTTATTTTTATTCAAAGAACACAATATATATTTAAAAAAAGTTTTTAAAGATTTAAACCGTAATATAGTTGCAGCTAATGGGACTTCAAATTTATATTTCTGGGGTCGGGAGGAGTTAAATTTTAGAGATATTTAGATTTTTGAGTAAAGAGTCCACAACACCAATAAAGGGCCTGCATCACTGGCTCTAATAACTATTAATAAAATTGTTGCCTTAATAATAAATTCGATTCGATGTTTTAATTATTGGTTCAAATCAATACGTAATAAATTGAGTAAATTGCTAAATATTTCTTAAAATGTTATGCGAAAAATTCTAAAACTTTATTGAGAACAAAACTCTTATACTACCGTAGCTCAGGGTACTATAAAAATATATGAATAAAATTATCTAAAGTATATAGAACAAGATTTTAAAACCAAATCAAATTATTGGCCAAGATTTTCCCTAACGACTTTTATAAAATTTTACGTTTCTTGACATTCTAACGTTGTAAACAAAATTTAAAATGATCTAATATTTAACACTTTACTCTTTTACCTCCAGGTTGCCCTACGTCGCCAACAAGCTCAAGAGGAAAACGAAGCCCGAGAATTAGGATTGTTATATACGAGCGTACCACCACGTGTGCCATCACAAAATACCAATGAGAATACAACCACGGCCACAACATCACAACTATCACCACAACAGACATCGGCCAATGGAGTATTTCATGCAGGCATACCTTCGCCCCCCAGTGATGGACTTGATTCCACAAACAATTCAACACATCATCATACCCGTATGCCCTTTAGCAATGGCAATTCAGGGGATTCAGATTCAGAAATGCGCATAAGAGCAGAAAGATTATCAATGGGTTTCTCACCCGATCGTACGGAAGTAGAAAGTCCTGGTAAGTTTAGTATTAAATATTTTCATATTATTTACTTTAAAATTAACATTTCCGACTGCTTAAACAACAACAACAATAATAATCAAGTGTTGAGAATTTGTCAAACAAAGTGTATTTCTTTTCGGTTGCTGCTGCTGCTGTAGTTGTTAAATAATGTTGCCTGCTGTCAGGCGTAAAGATGTTGTAATTCTTTATGTTACCACATGTGTTTTAACAAAAGATTTTCCACTTTTATTATTTGCCAAAAGAATTGCACACCTACAATGCAAACACGTACTCTCTCTCTCATACTTAGCGTAGAAGTACTTGTGTGCAGCATTACATTTCCGCTTTGACAACTTGCCACCTTTGGTTTTTTTTCTTTATTTCTACTTCTATTTTTTCTGCACTAATATGTGCCACCCCTGCTTCTTTGTGTCTGCGTTTTATTTATTTAATTCCTTGGTAAATTTTATTAAAAATAATAATAATAAAACATTTAGAAAAAAACAAAACAATGCAATTTGGTTCATGTTAAAAGCTAACGAGGTACATTTCATAAAAGAAATAAAAACATTGAGGCGAGAAAACGTTACAGTTT